TTATCAAACTATCTGTACTGGGCTAGCTTGATTATCACTTCAAAAAAAAAATTTCTCTTACTTAATTGGCCTCTCAGAGTTGGTAAGACAACCTCCCACCTGTTCATGCTCTCTGTATGTGTGTATATATATCCCCTCAATATATGTTCCACTCTATATGCATCCGAAGAAGTGGGCAGTAGCCCACGAAAGCTTATGCTCTAATAAATTTGTTAGTCTCTAAGGTGCCACAAGTACTCCTGTTCTTTTTGTGATCTGAGTGTATCCCGTGGCAGCACTGTCTGCTATGTCCTTTTCTTCACAGGGACTGTGAATTGTACTTCTCTATAATCCATGATTTGCTACCTCATTGTATCCCCAGTGACTATTATATGCACCCATTGGAATACAAGCTGCCTAGATTGGCAGCCACATACACCCGCAAGCTCCACACCCTCCTTGCCTTCCTATCCAGGTATTCTGCATGGATGTGAACCAGCATGATAAGAGCAAACAGGCTTGTGCTACTCCTGTGGCACTCTTACCAAAAAATGACTTATTGCATCCTCTTGCTACATCAACAGAGCAATGTGGGCTGCCCATCCAAGTTCATGGTTGCTTGGCACCTCTGCCTTCGCGAAACTGGCATAACACTTTGTACACAGGCACAGTGCCATCTGAACACATGGTCCGTAGTACAAACAGCCAAGAGATCAGTGGATGAGCAACCAATATGTTTACTGAAGGCAACATTCCGAGTTAGGAATATTGTTAGTCACTTGAGCTTCCATTCCTATACTTAAAGGAACAGGACATTACTATTTCAGCTCAAAACTGGATTGATTTGGGCCTCATACTAGAAATCTCATCATGTGAATTCTGATGAAGCCAGATTGGTATTCTGCAAAAGTAGCTGAGATGGTAGGGAAGTTATAGTGCAATCTCCTTTCCCCCTTGGCTTCCCCAGGCCAGGAAAGTCCCCTGCAAAGAGGTTCTTCTCAAATGGTTCAATGAAATTAACAGAAATCCGGTTAACAGGTTGAAATGGTGTGAAATGTTGTTTTGTAACCGCTGGGTTAAACCCTTCCAAATAACAGAATCATTTAAGGAGAACAAAACAAAAATCAGTATTTTAAACAGGTATGATTATTAAACATATGGTGATCATTATATATTTTCTTTTAATTGCCTTATTTTCTCCCTCATTCCTCATCACCAGATATGCAGCCACCCAGCCAGTTGTTATAGCTTTCCAACAGCTGATGGGATGGGGGTGGAGAGGGTTACTCTTGTGGTGGACAAGGCAGCTCACTCTATTGCTCGGAATTTCTATACTCTGTCAGCCCTTGAAATCTCTGAATATTGTTGCACTTTATTTCTACCCATACGATTTTTTTGTTGGCCAATCTACCTAGGGAAATGGAAGTTAACAAGGATTTGATTTGTTGTGAATGTGTGCAGGCATTGTTAAAGGGTAGGGATACGTTGACAAGACAATTATTTGCATAAGAAGACTATGCAGGATATATATTTAACTATTTTTCTTGCCAGGGGGAGGGGGCATAAATAACTTAATGATAAATACATAAAAAGACCACAGGCTGACACATTTATTGGTTCATGAGCAATTTAAGCCCTTTGTTTAATCATCAAAAAAAAATAGTGGTGGTGGGGGAAAAGAAATTACAGAAAACTTTTAAAAAAATACAGTACAGTAATAAACAAACTCAGCAGCTATGCCCTGGAGACCACTACCTTACTACACATTGTCATTTGCCAATCAGAATGCAAGAGCTCCACAACCTATGATTTTCTGTTAAGTAAATGAATTCCAGCTGCTGTACATTCTGACTGGCTGGTAGTAACATAATGGAGTAAAACTGAAACAGTATGTTCCTTGTAAATATTTGATCTGCCAGTTATCTAATGGCAAGAGTATCTCAGTGTCCAGATTTATTTCTATCTGCCAAAGAAGAGTGCTTGGGGTTGGGTTTTTCTTGTTGCCAGGGGCTTCCTTGCGTAATCTTGCCAATATATGGCCTGGCACAGAACAGTTAGTTTCTGGCACTATGTATACACAGTACACTGGGGTGTTTACTTTGCTCAATAGCATCATAGTCACACTCCTCTGAGTAACCACATTTCTGAATATTTAATTTTATCTGCCTTAATATTAGCCCCCACAATATGCCATAGAAAGACACGTTCCCTGCCACACAGAGCTTACACTCAAAAGTGTCATGAGCGATGAACAACGTATGAGCAAAATATTCAAGGTGATATTGTTTCCGTATCAGATTACTTTTTTAAACAGTGTTTTATTTTCCCCAACCCCGCTTTACCAACCATCGCTGGTGGGTGGAACAAAACCAATCACCCAGTCAGATGGTGCCCATTTTAATGGGAGTGTCTGGAGATCATCTGCTGATGTTCTCTAGGGGCAAAGGGAAGGGCTTGCATGGTATGTTTCCCTTTGCAATCATTGGCAGCTCCTGCTGCTTACTCTTGCTCGCTATCACAGAGGTTGGTGGATGGAGGTTCCTTCCTCAAGATGATAGACAAACACAGTGTTAAACAGGGTTAAGGAGTACTAAACTCCCAACTTGATTCATGGGGATGGGTCTACACTCTGCAGGACTCACTGAACATCCTTTCCACCCTAAGCGATTATTATTTCCTAACTATATCATGTCATGTTAACAATTTTCCATAATAACGATCTCAGCCTTCAGCAAAACTGGTTAACCAATTGTCTGCTGCTATAGCATTAAAACCTCACCTTTATATATTAAAAATAATAATTAAAATAGCAATAAGATTGTGTATGTTCATCAATAATAATCATTCAGATTTTCATACTGTATTGCACAAGAGCAGGCATCACTATCATACAGCACTGTGACAGCATGATATGGGCTGGAGAACAGTAATTCATGGATTATAAAAACAGAAATGACTGCCGCGATTATCTAGTCCGACTTCCTGCAAAACAGGTCATAGGACTTCCCTGAATTAATTCCTGTTTGGATTAGAACATATATAGAGCCTGGGTAACCTTAATTTAGCCCCCTTCTGCTTATCCATTATGATACAGTCTTTAATTATAT